AAAATCTCAAATAACATCCAGAGACCAAAATTTATGCAGTAAATTCCCATATTTTTTCAGATCTGTATTTGGACCTGATATATCCAAACACACATCCCTAAAAAGTACTGGTTCCATTAACATGGAGATTAATTTTAGTTGATACAGCAGACCATATTCTTCAGCTTTTCCAGATTTAAAATCCGACAGAACATGGGACTCTCTGCTATTTAACAGGAAGTCACATAACACTCACATGGCTATAAGAGGAGTAAAGAGTTACACCTTCACTTGTATCAAGGCCAGAACAGGAGGCAGCTTCAGTTACCAACCTCCAGATGGTGGTAGGCGTTTTCTTGCTTCCAGTACAGCTGTCCTGCTGCTTTCCTCTGGGCAGCAGGAGTAAAATGTGAAGGACAACATCACATTCATTGCAATGTCACTTCTGGCAAAAAAAACCCTGAAGGGACATCACAACACCCACACAACTCTCCAGGAATTCCCCAAACCTCTATTCTTATCTAGGAATTCCTAGAGAGTCATAGGTGGCTCTAACATCACTTTTTAGCTTTTTGCCAGAAATGACATTGCAGTGCACATGACACTGGTCTTTCAAGGGTTCCACCCATCAAAACTCCTGCTATTTACAGGAGCCAGGCTGGCAACCCTAAAGGCAACCGGGGCTAGGAAATACAAGCCAAGCACCAGGAAGCATGCTGCAGTGAGGAACAAGCCCATCTCCACCAGCAAGTGTTCTCATTTTCCTTTCAGAGTGTATGCAAAGGAAGGCAGGTGATTTGCTATGTATGCATGCTAGCAGCAGGACTTAACAAAAACCAGTTTGAAATGGTAGTTCTGTGGAAGATTGCAAGCCAGTAGGTAGGTAGAGTTCCATTACCCATGTGCTGAAGACAAGTGAAGTAGGCAGAAAATCAGCAGAAGACAAAGAGTGTAGTAATTCCTTCCTCCCAAAGAGTGTAGTATTACCCAGCGGTTGCTAGTAAAAAATTCCTTGTGAATTTCTTGGAGCAATATTTCTGATCCATATCAGTGTGAAGTCGATGTTTTCTGATGCAAACACTGATGTCTTTGTATGCAGGAAAATGTAACAATTTCAGTCTTCCTTTTATGAGATATCACATATGATAGCTGACTAACAGAACCTCACAAACAAAACTGGCTCATGGCTTTTGTCCATGCATATCCCATGATCCCCAGCACAGCCCTTTTCACAGTGAAAAGAAACCCTTCACTCTCTTTTCCACCAGCAGAAAATTGTATAGGATCCAACCCAATTACTTGACATTCTTAAGCAATGCTCAGGATGACTTAACACACATTAGCTTTTAGATGTGGAATATGCACTCTTTCTCTGTGTTGTTGTTCAGTCGCACAGTCGAGTCCGACTCTTCGCGACCCCATGGACCAGCTCCCGCCAGGCCCTCCTGTCTTCCGCTGTCCTCTGAAGTTGGCTCAATTTCATGTTCGTTGCGTCGATGACACTGTCTAACCATCTCATCCTTTGCCGTCCCCGTCTTCTTTGACCTTCAATCTTTCCCAGCATCAGGGTCTCCTCCAGTGAGTGCTCCCTTCTCATTTGGTGGCCAAAGTATTTGAGCTTCAGTTAACCCAGCTTGTACTTCTGGTAGTTCTCTATCCACGTACTGTTGAAGCCTAGCTTGTAGGATCTTGAGCATGACCTTGCTAGCGTGTGATATGAGTGCAATTGTGCGATAGTTTGAACATTCCTTGGCATTGCCCTTCTTTGGGATTGGAATGTATACTGATCTTTTCCAATCCTGTGGCCACTGTTGCGTTTTCCAAATTTGCTGGCAAATGGAGTGCAGAACTTTAACAGCATCCTCTTCTAAGACTTTGAATAGCTCAGCTGGGATACCATCACCTCCACTAGCTTTGTTGTTAGTAATGCTTTCTAAGGCCCATTTAACTTCACATTCCAGGATGTCTGGCTCGAGGTCAGTGATTATACCGTCGTGGTTGTCAAGGACATCGAGGTCTTTCTTGTATAGTTCTTCTGTGTATTCTTGCCATCTTTTCCTAATCTCTTCTGCTTCTGTTAGGTCCCTACCGTTTTTGTCCTTTATCATGGCCAGCTTTGCATGGAACGCTCCCTTGATTTCTCCAATTTTCTTGAAGAGATCTCTAGTCCTTCCCATTCTATTGTTTTCTTCTATTACTTTGCACTGTTCATTCAGGAAGGCCTCCTTATCTCTCCTTGCTGTTCTCTGGAAATCTGCGTTCAGTTGGGTAAATCTTTCCTTTTCGCCTTTGCCTTTCGCTTTCCTTCTTTCCTCTGCTATTTGTAAAGCCTCATCAGAAAGCCATTTTGCTTTCTTGCATTTCTTTTTCTTTGGTATGGTGGTGATTGCTGCCTCCTGTACGATGTCACGAACCTCTGTCCATAGTTCTTCAGGCACTCTATCTATCAAATCCAGACCCTTGAATCTATTCTTCACCTCTACTGTATATTCATCAGGGATGTGATCTAGGTCAAACCTGAATGGCCTCATGGTTTTCCCGATTTTCTTCAGTTTAAGTCTGAATTTTGCAATGAGTAGCTCATGATCTGAACCACAGTCAGCTCCAGGTCTTGTTTTTACTGACTGGATAGAGCTTCTCCATCTTTGACTGCAAATTATATAGTCAATCTGATTTCGGTGTTGCCCATCTGGTGATGTCCATGTGTAGAGTCGTCTCTTAGGTTGTTGGAAAAGGGTGTTCGCTATGACCAGTGTGTTCTCTTGACAAAACTCTGTTAACCTTTGCCCTGCTTCATTTTGCTTTCCAAGGCCAAACTTGTCTGTTATTCCGGTTACCTTTTGACTTCCTACTTTAGCATTCCAGTCCCCTATGATGATGAGGACATCATTTTTTGGTGTTAGTTCTAGGAGGTGTTGTAGGTCTTCATAGAACCGGTCCACTTCAGCCTCTTCTGCATCAGTGGTTGGGGCATAGACTTGGATTACTGTGATGTTGAATGGTTTGCCTTGGAATCGGACCGAAATCATTCTGTCATTTTTGAGATTGTATCCCAGTACTGCCTTTTGCACTCTCTTGTTGACTATAAAGGCCACACCATTTTTTCTACGAGATTCCTGGCCACAGTAGTAGATATAATGGTCTTCTGAGTTAAATTCGCCCATTCCTGTCCACTTTAGTTCACTGATTCCTAGGATATCGATGTTCAGTCTTGCCATCTCATTTTTGACCACGTCAAGCTTACCTTGATTCATAGATCTTACATTCCAGGTTCCTATGCAGTATTGTTCTTTGCAGCATCGGACTTTCCTTTCACCATCAGACACATCCACAACTGAGCGTCCTTTCGGCTTTGGCCCAGCCGCTTCACTCTTTCTGGGGTTACTCGTACTTGCCCTCTGCTCTTCCTCAGTAGCATGTTGGACACCTTCTGACCTGAGGGGCTCATCTTCCGGCGTCATATCTTTTAGCCTTTTGTTAAAACACATTCTTTTAAAACACATTCACTGATGTTAGCTCAATTTATGCATTCGTTCACAAGGAAAAGTAAAACGGTACCTGTATTAGAGCCAATGGGATGTGGAATGGTGCAGTATAGCCCAATCTCATCAGATCTTGGAAGCTAAGCAGGGTCAGTACTTGGACCACCAAGGAAGGCTCTGCAGAGGAAGGCCATGGCCAACCACCTCTGCTTCTCACTGGCCTTGAAAGCCCCTTGCTGGGGTTGCCATAATACAGCTGTGACTTGATGGCACTTTACACACACACACACACACATTAGAACCAATCACTCTTCTCAGTTTATTTATTTATTTATACTTTCGGTTTATATACCGCCCTGACCCCGAAGGGTCTCTGGGCGGTTTACATAGTGGTTCTAACCAACCAATTAACCTAACTAGGGCCACATTGTCTACAGGGTGGTGACTGCCTACCAGCACCCCGGGCTAGTTGTCATCCGGCTTCCTTAAATTATATATAACAGTGTGCAAAAATGTTACTTATGAACACTTATAAATGGTTAGTGTATTTTATTTTACCTATATGTATGGATAATTGTCATAGGAGTTGGTGATTTGTGTACTTGTGTATGAGTAGTAACAAGATCAGTGTGAAAAAACAGACCAGCAGGATATAATGCCTACATAGAATCCACCTGCTAAGGCATTCAGCAATTATAGCCCATTGAAGAACATAGCTGTAAGCATAGCTTTATAATTTTTTTTTTACAATTATTTAAAATATTAACATTTATGTATGTGGAGCGATGTAATTGTTATTAAAATTTCCCTTCTGTAACAGCTATTGTTGTACTTTTTAGAATCAACAGTATATTTTCAATACGTCACCAAGAGAAATGAATTGTTGAAAGACAGTTTATGTAAGGTTTCATACTATTTTTATTCTTATTCATATTATATATTTGCACAGTTATATATAATTTTAAATGAGACTTGTATTGTTGTATTTGATAAGGTAAACATCCTTGATCAGAAGAAGATCATTGTCGAAACAGCACACCATTCCGGAGACCACCGTCTACATTCACTATATATATTACTTATGTTCTATTATTGTACATTATGATTTATGAATATAGTACCAAGCGCTATATTGACACAGTTCTTTTTTCTTTTTTCATTGGTCTTATTACTGTGCCCATTCTTGTAACGATTCAGAGTTGGATCCAGCCAGCTTTTTCACTCAACTCATACCCAATCCTCCTCCATACTATAGCCCTCATTATCCTCAGCAGAGTCATTCTGGATGGTCAACAGTGACCCTTGCTTTTCCAGGACAGAAAAGCCGGTTGGCTCAAGCCCATTCATGGACTGGCCCTAGCACATTTCTCACCCACCCCATTCCCCCTTCACTTTGCTTCATACCTTGTGTACCTCGTCCAAGAGATTTTGGCCATCCCAAGCAGATGTAATGGATCCGTGTGTTTCTCTCAGGTCTAAACCTCCCAGACCAAGCAAGGCTTTGTAATCCCCTGCCCCTGTTTCCATTTGCTTCTGCAGCGTTAAAGAGAACGGGGAAGAGGCCTGCAAGGAACTGCTGGAAGCATATCACGCGTGTCTGCGGGCACTGGGCCTCAGCCCCCAAGATGTAGCAAACAGCTCGACGGTAAGGCGACCTCTACGAGCACTCAGGGAGGGCAAGGATCGGAATCACGGGCATGGCTGGGTTGGCAGGGCATCAGCATTGAATAACCAGGGCTATTTTGGGGCAGGAACGCACAGGAATGGAGTTCCGGCTGGCTCCTGAGTTGGCCACACCCAGCAGGAACTCATTAGCATAATAGGCCACACCCAACAGCAGAAACTCATTAGGATTGGCTACATTAGGGGTGTGTGGCCTAACATGCAAAGGAGTTCCTGCTACAAAAAAGGCCCTGGGTTTTGACAACAAACAAGGTAAACAGAATAAGAAGGGAAAGGTGGGTGTGACTGGATGACCACACTTCTGGTAACATGGGGGTGCAGCCTAATGTGCTAATACGCGGTGCTGTCAGGGTGTGGCCTAATATGCTAATGGGTTTGCTGTTGGGTGTGGGATGCTAATGAGCTCCTGCTGGGCTTTTTCTACAAAAAGAGTCCTGTGAATAACAATGCTCATGGTTGTGTCAGTAGAGGCCAGGGATCCCCAGCGTGATGCCTGTGGTGCGTGATGCCTGTGGTGCCCGCTGACGCCTTTCCTGGCACCTGCAAAGTGTTTTTAGAAAGTGGGTGGGGCTTTTCTCCAGCAAGGCTTCTGATTGGCTGTGCAGACTTATTTAAAAGGTTGCTTTGACAGCAGCTGCCACCCCAGCACAGGGTTCTTCACAGTGTGACTGAAGCCAAGCTGCGGCAGACGTTTTGTGGCTGGTTCTACCTCCAGGGGCCCTTTTCTGGCTATGCTCACCGCTCTGTGACAGAACTCCAAAGGTGCCCACAGGGTCAGAAACGCTGGGGACCCCCCAGGATAGACAATTGCTGGTTACACCATTCAAAAGACAATCGAGGGCCGGCAAGTGAGTGCTCTTTCAAACAAGATGACCAAATCCAGACCCAGAGAGCTTCCAGCGGCAATAGCAGGACTTCCCCATCAGTCCTCCAGAATACTTTCATCAGCCCAAAAACATCCAGCCTGACCAAAGAGTTCTGGAGAACTCAAAAGTTGTGTAATGTGTTGTGTGTTACTTTGCCTGGTCTCAGTAAAAGGCACTAGACGGCTTTTGGCTTTTCAGCTTTGCGACGGGCCAACGCGGCTAACTCGTTAAGCAAGAACAGGGTTTGGGGTTGCCAAGCTCCAGGTGGGGCCTGGAGAGATCCTTGAATTACAAACTGTTCTCCAGACTAGAGATCAGTAATCCTTGACAAAATGGCTGCTTTGGAGCGGGGATTCCACGGCCTTGTACCCTCCTGAGGTCTCTCTCCTCCCCCAAACCCCACCCTACCCTGGCTCCATCCTCGAATCTCCGGGAATTTCCCAACCCAGAGTTGGCAACCCTAAGGGAGATGCTGCTGTGTCTCCATCCCCTGCCAAGGTTCAGATGACTTCTTTCTTGTTCTTCCAGCTGCTGAGCCGCTAAGGGTCTTGTCCTGCCAAAGCTTCCCACAGCCACCCGACGGCCCTCGAAGAGTGACAGCGGACATGGAGGTGTACCCTGGAGCCGGACGCAACACTCCCAGGGGGCCCCAGTGCAAGGGTTCCCCAGTGCAATAAAGCCCTTGCGTTTTACTCAGGCTGGGCCTGTGTCAGTTACTGAGTGGCTGCTCCTTTCCCCTCCCCCCACCCCTCCAACATCTCCCCCACCCCCTGCTTTCACCCTTCCTCCTCCCAGGAACCTTCCTCCTCCCCCCCCCAATCTGTGTTGTACTAATTTCCCTTCTGTAACATTTTATAGCACCTTAAAATGTTCCCAAAGTGCTTTATAACCATGGCTTAAATAAACTGACTGGCTGTCAGCATTTCCATGCTAATGTTCCAGTCCTGCTGATTTCCCCCCAGCAGCACCTGATCACTTTCAGAATCCCAGCACTCACCACCACAGTACGGGGCATCCTTTTCCCAACAGGTGACCAGCCATACATCTCAAAAACCTGAACACTGGCCTTAAAAGCTACAGGTCACTTTGCTGACATGCTCAGCTGGAATCTCTGTCCCCAGCGGCATCTTCACACCACTGGATATCACAGCAGCAGTGTGCCATGGCAGCCATCGGCAACTGATCCCATACGGACAACTCCAGAGGTGAACAACTGCAATAGCACAATACCCAATGATGTACAGATGCAGCCCAAGTCTTTCCCACCTGGGTCTGCTACAAACATAACTTCTTTGAGGTTTGTCAGTGCTGAAATCTCTTTTCTGGAAGGGATCGTTTTTAATTCCATGTGATCATGCATGCTAACAAGTGTAGACAATAACTACTGCAAGCACAGACTCTGCATGTCGTGAGCCGAGAAGCCCTCCCTAAAAACGATAACTTGTGCCCTTAAGGGGTTCCAAAAGCCAACACGAAGATGACTTTTAGTAGACACATACTCTCGAAAGCAAAAGCCTGTAAAAGGTAAAGGTTCCCTTGCTGGAAAGCCAGTCGAATCTGACTCTAGGGTTGCTCATCTCTGTTTCAAAGCCAAAGAGCCAGCGCTGTCCGAAGACGTTTCCATGGTCATGTGGCCGGCACGACTAAACACCAAGGCGCACGGAACTCTGTTACCTTCCCACCGAAGTGGTCCCTATTTATCTACTTGCAATTTCTTGCTTTCGAACTGCTAGGTTGGCAGGAGCTGGAACTAGAGACGGGAGCTCACTCCGTCATGCGGCACCCGGGTCTCGAACTGCTGAACTACTGACCTTCCACAGCCTTCAGTTCAGCGTCTTAACCACTTGAGCCACTGCAGCTCCATACACCGTACACTGTGTACAAAAAAGCCTATACACTGATCTAATCTTGTGCCGCCGCCACCCCACCCACACACTAAAAAGATGAGGGGAGGAAACTTCTCCAGTGACTACTTTATCTCGAGGATGCATACCTGGCAAAGGGTCTTGTGCAGCAGAATGAAAGGAAGGTCGAAGAGTCTTCCGTTTCCCATTCAAGACACTGGAAGATCCTTGCTCATAAGCAGCCAAAAGATTTCTGAAGCTGAATTTACACTCAGCTGTAGAGTATCTCTCATCCCACAGCCTGGAAGCCCCCACAGAAGAATGCTAACATTTGGCTTGTAAAGACATGGATAAAGGACAATTTTTAAAAAATGTATACCGTTTTTTCCCCAAACTGGAACCCAAGGCAGCTTATCACGGCACTCTCCCTTCCTCCACCTCGTCTTCTCAACAACCATCTTGCAAAGTAGGTTAGGGGGAGACTGTGACAGGCCCCCAGTCACCAAGGGAGCTTCCATGGCAGAGCAGGGATTCAAAGCCAGTCGTCCCACTTCAACACTCTGACCACTGCACCAGGCCAGCTCTCAAGCGTGAGCGTAAACTAGAATGCGACTGGATCCACCCAGCTTTTTGGCTCAATCTCACCCACCATTAGTGCCCGACAGACATGGCTTTTGTCTGCGCAGGTCCCAAGACTCACCCAGCACATCCTTTAGGGGCGGCCAAAGGCCCTTCCCTGCCTTTCTCACTGGCACTAAAACTGACGGGATCTAGCCCAGTGTCAGCAGGTCTGTCACAGGTCTGTTATGCTTATGAGTTTTATGATGTATATTGTGTTTAATGAATTTGTCTTAATGCATTTTAACTTTTCATGGAAGCCGCCCTGAGCCTGCTTTGGCAGGGAGGGCGGGATACAAATTGAAGTAAATAAATAAAATCAGACAGAATGTGCAAGGAAGGCCTGGTGTCAGTCCAGCCCCAGGGCTGTTCCAAAAAAGCTTTCCAGGACCTCTGAGATCCGCCTAGCCTCCTTCCTGATTCTCATGGCTTGCAGAGCAGTATTACTGCTGCTGCTTCGGGTCTTTGTACCCTTTGCCCATTGCCAAAGACTGCCAGGTCACACCCAGGCAGGCAGAGTGATTACCACAGGCAAAAGGCCCAGACAGGAGATGAGCCTCAGACACAGCCTTTCTGCCTGGCTAAGGCAGAAACTGACTTTCGGCTCAAAGGATCCCTGTTTTGAACATTGCGGAGCCAAAGGGTGGCTAGCTGCAAACTTGGCACTGCTGCGGCAACCACCAGATGTGCTCCTTACCAAGTTCTGCAAGCCCAGCAAACAGAGTGGCAGCAATAAGGAGAGGCCGTGTTCAAGTGGCAGACCGTCTGCTTGGCATGCAGAAGATCCCAGGTTCAATCCTCGACGTCTCCGGTTAAAACGGCCAGGCAGTCGGGGATGGGGAAAACCTCTGCCTGAGACCTTGCAGAGCGGCTGCCGGTCAGAGTGGGAAAGACCGACCTTGATGGACCGATGACCAGACTCCGTGTATGGGAGCTTTGTGTGTTCAGTAACCTTGCCAGAAACACCAGCACTCCACACTCAGTGCGATGGTGTGCACGGCAAATCCCAGAGGTGCAACTGGAGTGCCAGGGACTGACGGCAGACGGCACAACCCAACTCTGTCATTCCATCACGGTGGGGAAGGGATTGGGGGGTGGGGGAGAGACAAGAAGCTGGGACCAGGAACTTTCAGTACAAATCTACAACCTTTATTACAAGAGAGACCAACGGGTGCAACAGCGAGGCCCATCTATCTCCCCGAAGGTGGGGGGGAAGGGGGGTAGTGTACATAAAGCTTTAGCCCAAGGAAAAGTGCTGGAAAACCTCTTGCCGCCTTCCCAGAGGCAGGAGGTAACAGCCAAGGTGCTGCCTGTAGCTCCCCTTCTCCACCCCCCAAAAAAGAACATCAGGAACTAGATGGGGGGGGTCATAATGGGTTCCGTCGCCCACGCCCTCTCTTCAGAAGAGAGCGCATTAGAATCTCCAAACCACCCAGGCACGTGGAACGGAGGCATTTTGAGCAAGCTACAGAAAAGAAAGAAACCTCGTCGGGTGGCATTAAAAATCCTTTTGGAAAAGAAAGGAAGAGGGGACGTAAAAGCACGACGGAGGGGCTGGCACCTTTGCCTCCCTCGTCGGTGCTCGCGGCCATCCCAGAAGCCGGTGGGGGCTCTATGACCTGCCACAGAAGCAGGTGTGACATTGGGGGGGGGGGGGGAAAAGAGCAACACCACAGCTTTGGGAAGGAGGGAAGGGGGGGGAGCCCAGCTCCGTGCCCGCTAGTCCCGCCGCAAGTTCTTTAACCGCTCCTCCAGGTCGGCGTCTGCATCGGCGAGAGCTGCCGAGGCCTCGGCCTTCTTGCCGCCGGCCACACTCAAAGAACCGCCGGTCGAAGGCAGGTCTGCAAGGGAAGGGAATCGAGTTTAAGGTACGGCACGAGACAGAGACGCTTCGTTCCTCAGTCTCCTCCCCCAACCCCATCAGCCATAGTCGAGCAGAGCAGAGACCTGCATAGAGATGGAGCAACAGAGGCATGTGTGTACTTGAAAGAGCCGTTAGCCTTCAGCCAGTACAAGGGCTAGGCAGAATGTTTCCTTATGTGCTATAATTTGGGCCCTAATTCTTCCTAAATAAACCTTGCCCTGCGGGGAGGATCCTCCTGGGGGCTTGCCCTACTAATTTAACTTATTTGGTTCTGTACTGGATGATGCCCCCTCAGAAGGACAACTGAAAAGGGTAGATTCAGGTGGGGTAGCCGTGTTAATCTGAAGCAGCGGAACAAAGTTTGGGTCCAGGGGCACCTTGAAGACCAACAAAGTTTTATTCAAGGTATGAGCTGCTGTGTGCTGAGGAAGTGAGCTTGCACACGAAAGATTATACCTTGAATATAACCTTTTTTTGGTCTCATAGGTGCTACTGGACTCAAACTGAAAAAGGGTGTCAAGCTACTATGTTAAACACAGTAACCACTGTGTCACACTAGAAAGGTGGCTAGCTTTCCCCCATCCATCCAGCTCTCACTGATGAGCCGCTTTCTCATGAACCATGTGCTCCACCCCTGCTTTCAGACTTCAGCAGAACAGGTATCTGAAGAAACGTGCGTGCACACAAAAGCTTATACCCTTGAACTAACCTTCGCTGGTTTTAAAGGTGCCACTGGACTTAAACTTTGTTCTGCTGCTTCAGACCAACACGGTTACTCGCCTGAATCAAACTTCAGCAGGGTTTCTGGGGGCAGCCACACAATGTTGTCTCCCTCTGGCTGTGACACCTTCCTTTGCTCAGATCACTAACAAAATGTGCTCTGATCAAGTTTGGGTTTCCCACAGCGTGGAGCACACGGCCGGTACCCATTTCCTTCCTCACTCCTTTGGGCCAGCCATTCCTCCCCCCACTGCTGGTGGGCTTTTTATTGCTGTTGCTGTTTTATGGGGTTGTAGGCTACAGCCTTAGCACTACAGTGTTGTGCCTACTGTAGAGTTTTTATGGGTACAAAGGTACAAATGGCATTTATTGCATACGGTCAAAGGCCATTACAGAGTTTTAATAGAAATCGTCCAGCAGCTAAGGGGGACCGGCGAGCGTGAGGGAAATGAGGAGGGAAAACCTGAGAATCACCCCATGTGGACTCTCCGTTGCAGAGGCATTTGCAGTGACGATGAGTCAACCATATGGATCTGAAGCAGCCCTGGCATTCACATATATAAGAACGTGGTAAAACAATCGTGACCTCATAAACTTGGCTTGTTATTCCTCTTTGCGTCTGTTAAAACAACTTCATTATGTTGTATGCTAATTTGCTGTTCAACCTCTACCGTATATGTATGGAATCGTGACTTCCATTTCACTGTATCTGAGGAAGTGTGCGTGCACATGACAGCTCATCCCCTGAATAAAATTGTTGGTCTTGAAGGTGCCACGGGACTGTAACTTGGTTCTAGACTTCCTGGGAGTTATAGAAGCATGATTTTGTTTGGCCACTCCCCATCAGTTCCACTCTGGCCACTTCTAGTCCACCCCACCAATCGATCTGGCCCACGCTGAATGGGACGGGTACCAGCCCTGCATGCACACAAAGCTGTTTTATCCTGAGCCAGGCCACTGGTCTGTTAAGGTCAGTACTGCCTACTCAGACAAGTCGTGGCTTTCTAAGGTCTCAGGCAGCAGTCTTTCATATCACCTGCTACATGGCCCTTTCAACTGGAGATGTGGGGGGACTGAACCTGGGACCTTCTGCATGCAAAGCAGATGCTCTGCCACAGAGCCCTGGCCCTCAGATGGGCAGCCGTGGATCAGTGGCAAACAGAAAATCTCAGGTTGCAACCCTGCTTCTCCCAGTTAAAGGTTACTGAAGCAGGGGAAACCTTTTCCCTGCCAGAGTGAGTGTGGAGATGCCGCCAGGCAAAGAAGCCGATGCTCAGCTAAACAGACAAGTGATCCGACCATAAGGCAGCTTCGTAGGTCACCCAAAGCACAACCTCTTGCCCTCCCATTCTAATCCGCCTACCTCTAACCTCCCCCACCACTCCCCGATACTCACTAGACAGCTCATCCGTCAACGTCAGACCCAGTTCGTCCAGCACCTGCGAGACCACAGCATCACTGCAAACAGAAGAGACGCATATATGAGGCCAACAGCTCCCTCAGAGTCCAGAACGGTGCATCTGCACATATCCTCTTCTCCCCCCACGTCTCCTGAAATTCAGGATGAACCGATACAATTCTTCCTTTATAAACTGACATCCAGGTCCGCATAACCAAGAGGTATGAGGCAGCTGAAATCCTACCAAAGCCGGTCACCCTTCCCAACAGTAACTGCAGTCCTCTTACTCCATGCTATTAAATATATCATTCAAGCTAAATTGTCGGCAGTGTTACACGCACACCAGTTCACATATAAGACACTGCATGCTGTTCTATGTTTATATAATGCACACAGGATTGGTTCCTACCAGCTTTTCTGCTTGTTCTTGTCCAATTCTCCTCCTTGTGGCAATTCCCATGATTTATGGCTTTTAAATTCCACAACCCATGGCACAGCCTTGTCAGCGGTCCCCCCCCAAAAAAAGCCCTTGCTCCTTCTGTTTCTAGCAGAAAAGCTGGCAGGATCCAGCCCACACACTAGTTCCTTTGTGTGCATATCCAGAGAAATAGGGGAGGAAAGCAGCATCTTGTCTGAAAAGCCACTAGCTCACCCTGCCAGCCCCTCTAGAACAGGGATGGGCAGAAGGTATCTTGGAGCCTACTTCTGGACAATTGCCTAGTGCTTGCCAGTGGACCACCCAGTGATGACTGGGACTCTTGCAAAGAACGCTGGAATTGGTGGGCCTTGGTCTGATCCAGCAAAGCGCTTATGTCTCTAAGCAAGTCGATCACCCAACAAGTTAGCTGTGCCTTAATTTTTAAGAGATCTCCTCTTGGTTTGTAAGTTTGCATCGCACTAATGAACTACTATGATACTATTAAAAGGGGGGGCATGCAAGCCCACAGGTCAAGGAAACCATTTTTCAGCAGTAGTAACTCTAGTCCTCCTAGTCACTACATGCACATATCTCTTCTGGGTCTTAGATATTTGGGCTCAAGCAGATATCGTTCCATCCATAAAATTCAGACTGCAGAATACATTTCACCGCTCAACATCCACTATTTGAAACTAGCTTTCCTGTGCTGCTATTAGTATTTTGAAGGAGAAGACATTTTAAAGGAGAAAAGATACGTCTAACAGCAGCCCAGGAAAGCTGGTTTAGAAAAGTGAAAACGAAGGGAGCTTCTAGAGTTACCCCTACTCTCCATTCTCTTCATGAGCCCAAGGCAAACTGAGGCTATGATGGTTGCATCGGCACTTTACGGACAGACTGAAATCTGCCTGGGCCCTTAAGTCTGGCATGTCCAAGTTACACCGAAGGGGAAGAGGACCATTGGTGCAAAAAAACCGCTGTCTCCCTGAAAATAAGGAAGAGGTCTCTCAGGCACATGGCATCATTCCAGCACCACTGCTATGTGCAATCAATCCAGGCAGAGCCGCAGAGTACACCTCGCCTGATCTCCGTTTTCTTTGCTGTACCCCCACGCCCCGCTCACCTTTCCTCCTCGTCGAGAGGTCTTTCAGGCACATGGCATCATTCCAGCACCACTGCTATGTGCAATCAATCCAGGCAGAGCCTGATCTCTGTTTTCTTTGCTGTACCCCCACCCCCGCTCACCTTTCCTCCTCGTCGTCCTCATCCCCCATGGCGTCATCAATGGCATCATTCATCATCTCCTCCTTCATGTCCATGATTTCTGACTGCTTCTCAAACTCCATCATGATCTTCTGGATCTGGGGTAGCTTCAGCTGAAAGAAAGCAAAGCGGCAGGCTGTCGTTTGTCTCTGAGTTTAAGAAGGGACCGGGGCTACGATCACAGGTCCCAGGTTCGACCCCTGCCCTTCTCTTGTTCCAACAAAACTGCAGGAAGTTTGGGAAGGGCAACGTTCCTGCTCAAGAGAGCGGCTGCCAACTGCAGCACTGGATGCACCGATGATCCAACTCCATACAAGGCTACTTCACAGCTTTGCTATGCTTGTAGGAAAACGTGAAGTGAGTAAAGCAATGATGCAGAGAAGGGCCAGGACTTCCCACAGCAGAGGTGATTAGCCCTCCCCATAACCAAGCCTATGTTCCTTTACACTCTTCTCTCCCTATTCTGTTAATCGGTTTTTGAATGGAGCAAGGGACTGAAGACACGGTGGGCTATATAGGACGTGGAGCTCCAGGGGGCCAGAATGTTTCTGCTGGTGGATGTCAGGATCCACAGCAAAACAATGAAGCACACGCTTCCAGGAAGGTTTTACTTTTATTGAAAAGCTATAGATACAGTAACATGAACACTGTTAGGAATGGCGGGTTACCTATGCACATAATAGGATATAAGGCATTCGAATGCACACACACACACACACCCATGTAGTACCCAATTAGATGGGCTCCTGCGCGTGGGCATTTGGCAGATAACTAACAGCTGCAAAAGCTGGGAAGGTAAGAAGCTTCTCACGGATTCTAGACACACCAACTCCTCCAGTGGCCTTGAGAGATATGCGTTACAGCTAAGATGCAATTAAGTGCATGGGAAGGAATGCACAGCAATTAGAAACATACACCACACTCATGGCAGCATAGCTGACAGTGGATCCAGAAGCCCAAGCACCTTGGCTCCTCGGCAGACAGCACCTGGCTTTTAGTACCTGCTTGAAACATTTGTATCCCACCCTTCTCTGAACGTCCCCTATGCCCCCGGTAGGAGTTGCCAGAGGTCACCATGACTTCCAGGCATGGGCACACACACAAATGCAAAAATCCCCCCCCCCCCCAAAAAAAAGACAAAAAAAGTCTGTCGCCCAGGCAGCAATATTTGGTATTGACAGCAAAGAAGGAAAAGGGGCAGTCAAGAGTAAAGGGGAATCAGGGCTTCCCTACAAACAGTGAATGGAGGATTTGCCCCATGCAAATCTCTCTGAGCTCTCTGAAGCAGTGTTTTCCCTCTGGCCTCCCTATGCTCCGATGTCCCTCCTGTTTGCTTCCTCTCATCAAGGTCCCTCTAAGACAGGGAGTCGGCAACCTACAGCTCCACAGTCAACTGTGGCTCCTTATGGAATCAGCAGTGGATACAAAAAAGATAAAGTTAACACATATTGGAGGGGAAGGTGGGAGGCCAGAATAGCCAATAGGTGAAGGCAGAAAAATATTTTAATGGGACTTAAAGGGTTGCTAAGAGATGCTTTACAGAAAGGGGAACCACAGAAGGGAACAGCTGCCAGTCATCCAACATGAACTGTATGCATATTTATGCCACAGTGCTCCCCTATATATTTATTACTTATGGTGAGACATCGTGGGCGCCACTTCCTGAGAAGGAACTTGCGACCAGTGTTCCCTCTAAGCTGAGTTAGTGTGAGCTAGCTCACAATTTTTTAGCCTCTAGCTCACACGTTTTTGCCTTCGCTCAGGAAGGATGGCTCCAGAGGAAACTAATTTATGCAGTAGCCAAATCGCTCACTCACAACTTTAATGCCAGTCGCTCACAAAGGAGAATTTTTGCTCAGGGGACTCCACAGCTTAGAGGGAGCATTGCTTGCGACAACCAGTGTGTTTAGGCTGTGGGAACGGTATGGATTATCAATCGATATGTCAATCATCAGTAATGCTAATCTGTATATTTTTTTTGTTATACAAATAGGCTTCATCACACTGGATCTTTGCTGATCTCTTGTCCTGAATTTGGATGGACTTCGGCTCTCTAATTAGAAAAGGCTGCTGACTCCTGCTCAAAAGGGGATGATTGATATGTCAATCATCAGTAGTGCTAATCTGTATAATTTTTTTTGTTATACAAATAGGCTTCATCACACTGGATCTTTGCTGATCTCTTGTCCTGAATTTGGATGGACTTCGGCTCTCTAATTAGAAAAGGCTGCTGACTCCTGCTCAAAAGGGGATGATTGATATGTCAATCATCAGTAGTGCTAATCTGTATAATTTTTTTTGTTATACAAATAGGCTTCATCACACTGGATCTTTGCTGATCTCTTGTCCTGAATTTGGATGGACTTCAGCTCTCTAATTAGAAAAGGCTGCTGACTCCTGCTCAAAAGGGGATGATTGATATGTCAATCATCAGTAGTGCTAATCTGTATAATTTTTTTTGTTATACAAATAGGCTTCATCACACTGGATCTTTGCTGATCTCTTGTCCTGAATTTGGATGGACTTCAGCTCTCTAATTAGAAAAGGCTGCTGACTCCTGCTCAAAAGGGGATGATTGATATGTCAATCATCAGTAGTGCTAATCTGTATAATTTTTTTTGTTATACAAATAGGCTTCATCACACTGGATCTTTGCTGATCTCTTGTCCTGAATTTGGATGGACTTCGGCTCTCTAATTAGAAAAGGCTGCTGACTCCTGCTCAAAAGGGTAAAGTGCAAAAACTGTGGTCAGAAAACCAACTCTGCAGTTGGCACACCCTGTTACAAAGAAAGGGAAGCTGGAATATCCAGAACTAAACCCCAACAGATGGAAGGCTTCCTCTTAACCCTACAGCACTCCCTACCTTTGCTCGACACACTTTGAGCCCACTCACCTGTCGGTTCATGGTGGCCATGGCTTTAGTGACGCCCTTCATGGCCTGTGCCATGGAGTTGTTTGACTTGAGGGTCTGTATTTTGAGGGACACCGCCTGGATGTTGGCCCTCATCATGATGAACTTCTTGACATAACGCCTCGTCCGCACCAGATCTTTGGCCATGATCTTTACTGCATCCTGCAGGGAGATAAACCGGTTTAGAGGAGGAAAGGCAAACACCCTCCAGTGGTTTTCGTGCACCAGGATATGCCCTTCCTCTCTCTTACCATCTGTCCCTGCTTTGCCATCTTCTTTATGTCGGCAATGATCTTTTTCTCCTGGGTTTCCAGCTTCTGTCGCTCGCGGTCCAGCTCTCGCATGGCGCGGTTCAGCGCCCTCTGATTTTGCCGGAGCATCTCTTCTGGGGTCTTCCGCCGTCCAAAGAGTAGATCCATGGTGGAAGAGAATGGGTGGGCCTGCAACTGAGTCAACAGAGCGGAGCCTTTAGACATCTACACCTGTCCCCGTAACGGGGTAGCGCCTTAAGGGTTAAAGTACTAAACTGAGCTCTGATCCATAGAACAGCGGATGACCAGGGTGGCTGTAATCTACAGCCTAGTGATGGACACAAGCAGACCGGGTGCAGAGATGAGCAAAGACAATGAGGGATGGAACTGAAATCACTATCCAAGCCTTGCCAAGCCAAATGCAGAAGCAACTGGCCTACCTGTCTTTCTGGAGGCAGCAAACAGATCCCTTTTGGTTTTGCTGCCACTTTGTGGCAGAGCTTAATCCAGTGGGGACTCACTTACTTATCCACTGAACAATTATAAGCATTAAGATGAACATCTCGCAATTCTGCCACTGCCGAATAGCCTCATTACCATAACATTCTGCAAATCCTGGGTTGGATCCAGCCAGCTTAGCTCACCCAATTCCCATCTAAACTTTCTGCAAATCCTGGGTTGGATCCAGCCAGCTTAGCTCACCCAATTCCCATCTAAACTTTCTGCAAATCCTGGGTTGGATCCAGCCAGCCTAGCTCACCCAATTCCCCTCTAAACATTCTGCAAATCCTGGTTTGGATCCATCCAACCTAGCTCACCCAATTCCCCTGGGGATCCCGGGATCCCCAATGCTGTCTTTTTGAGTGGTCAAAGGGAACATTTACTCTCCTCACCAGGAGAAATGTTGGGTGGATCCAACTCCTAACTTATTACCTCTCCCACTCTCACCTCCTTCAATTGCTACCCTGAACACCATGAACAACCTTTATGAACTGAGCAAAGCAATGGAAACAAATACAATAAGTGCACCTTTTAAAGCAGGGGGAGAAGAAATGGAAATTCTCCAAGGTTACAGCAGGTCAATCAGTATCAGTAAAGAAGCACGAACGTTTTAAAATATGCGTTCGCAAACCACCCTCAACCTTTGGGATAGAGTAGAGGCATGTCTGTGAACAGAGAGCATCTCCGCGATAGATTATGGGCCACTAGCATCAGCCAGGGACAGGACGAAGCCACAAATCATGTGGCACCACAATGCCTGCAAAGAGATGGGTCCAGTAGATATCGGGGGCAGGGGGAACACAGAGCGGTGGGGAGCAAATATTTAGCAACACCAACACACCCACCAACAGCACATGGAGGGACATTTCTTGTTTTAGAGCAAAGACCCCCTTTCTATCATTACCTATATTTGCATCTTTAAATCACCTAGTAATATCAAAGTGATCACCATGAAGCCAGAAGTCCTTTAATGCAGCTCACATACCACGAAGAGAAGAACAGATTGGATTTATACCCCGCCCTTCACTACCTGAAGGAGTCTCAGAGTGGTTTACAATCTCCTTTCCCTTACCCTTCCCACAACAGACACCCTGTGAGGTAAGTGGGGCTGAGAGAGCTTTTTCAAGAACTGCTTGTGACAGAACAGCTCTGAGAGCGCCATGACTGACCCAAGGCCACACCAGCAGCTGCATGTGGAGGAGTGGGGAATTAATCCCAGTTCTCCCAGATTAGGGTCTGTGCTCCTAACCACTACAACAAGCATAATAAAGTGAACTCTACCCCCTGACCTCCAAGGTTAATCAAAAAGTACTCTTCATATAAACAGGGTTACTGAGGAGACAACATTTTAATATATTGGGTTTTATTTTCATCTCGGGGTTGCCAAACTTGTTGAGCTTAGGAGCACCTCTGGAATACTGAGAGCACTAAGTCTCAACAATCAGCCACCCAACGGCTGTCATGGGGCTGAGCACAGGGATAAAATATTAGGAGGCTCCTAGTCATGCATCCTCCTGTGATGAAGATAGCTCTGTAAGAGTTCTTCCTGCGGGCAGAAAGGTGATGCATTTGGGATTCTTCTGAAGCAACTAGTGTTTTGCTTAGAAAAAAAATATGCTTCGGGAAAGAAGACACCATGCTGGAGATCATAAAAGCAAGGTGCGCTATTCCATCTTAGTCATGCTCACACACAAAACAGGAAATGGAACTCAGGCCATGGGTATGCAGATGAAGAGGTGGGGCAATGCATGCCAAGGGTGGCTTCCCATTGATGGACAAGAACTGAAAGGGGAAACATTGACGTTTGTGTTGGGGATTTTCTAATAGGGAACCTACTCCCTGGGTAAGCAGCATACAGAGAAGACAGAGTGCATAAACATGCATGGGAAAAGCACATCCCCAACTATACCAATAAGAAGCTGATGACCAATGCACCCATGTAAACATCAGTGGGGCAAATGCCAACAGTAGTTGCCCACCCAGAGATAAAGAAATTCTCCTTAGTTACAGGATCCACTCCTTATAGAGTGAATTCTCTCTTCATAGGGGGGATGAAGAATGAATCCTTTTACATGCGAAAAGCAAGATATAACTCTAAAGAAGCCATTATCGTAATAACGATAAGGATGGAAAACAGGGTGTGGCTGGCACTTTGAACACCCTTAAGAAAAGCAGACGAGCCAAGGCTATCAAAACGTACTCTCCGCTCTCCTTTTTTTCCTACAAGGGCAGCCCCTCAAGCATATGAGAACCTTTTCCAGACCCGTTCACAGAAAGGGAGAAAGGGACGCAAGCACAGGAGTACCAGGCGAGGGAGAGCCAGCTTCAAACACCTGCTTGCCATTAAGCTAACCAGATGACCCGACCTTGGGCCGGCCGGCCGGCCACACGCATACAATCGAGTCTGCCTCACGGGGTCGTCGTATGCATACAATGGCACGGGAAGCACCCTCAATGCGGCCCTAAAATTTGGTCAGACACAATTTTATATCTGAAGGGGGGAAAGGACAAGCAACCGGGGGG